GACATTTGCGAGAAATTACTAAATGTCCATTATAGGGAGACGCTATAAAAAATTGATTGTACATATACAAATACAGCCATTGAATTTGGTACATATTAATTTACTGTTTATCGTACACACAATAATATGTATGTATGTATTTAAAAGTAGACATAGAAATGTTTATAAAAATGCATAATATTTATGTACTATTAAAAACAACTTAACCTTTTTTGTGTAAATTTTTTCTACTCTATGCAATGATATGTGCATGTATGTCCATTTATGAGAGGTAATTATTAATTTTGGTATCAGTTTTTATTGTCTACGTCCACTATTAAGAGGTGTCCATTAATAGAGGTTTCAGTGTAATATAAATACATTCTGTTTTTTTTTTTCAACTAAATTCTTAGCCTTGTTTTAAAACTGCATAATATCATTATCTAAAGTAAATCGTTATKTCGACTGAAAAAAATTAGGTATCGAAACATAATAAATTATTATACRAGTCGTATTTGATTGCTTACCTATGGAATACCAAATGCAGGCCAACCAATGCGCCACTAGCATATAAAAGCACAGCAGTAGTATCAACATTGCAGCACCGTATTCCAAGTACCTGTCTAGTTTTCGAACRACTCTGCCCAGTCTCAATAACCGGACAACTTTCAAAGCACTGAACARGCTTCCGATACCCTGTGAAATTAAAATTCTTTCATTTAAACAAATAATGAGTTTATACGTATTACTAAAAAAAACATATTGTTATTTTAACACTCTTTCATAAGTATAGCGAAATAATGCATCATTTTTTTTTTATTTCTCTCGGTAGACAAGTAATAATATTATTTAATTAAAAAAAATGATTAATTGAAGGATTTATTTAAATAGTAATTTTTTTATCGATTCATTATCTTTATGATTCTTACAATATATCATTTACTCGACGTTGAAAATGTGTCAATAATAACATTATTATCTATTAATATTACAATGACTAGACTAGACCTGGCATATGTATCTATATCATAAGATGTTTAAGATGGTAAGAAGTCAACTAGTATAAGTGTTAAGTTTAAATACATCGTTTGAAATAGAAACCAATACCTAGAGCACACGTGTCAKAAACATTTATTGATAACAGGCAAAATGTACCAAAATTTAACTTAATTTTTTACTTAAACATAATTTTTAAACATAAAAATTGCATGCATTAGAAAATAAATACTGAGTAGAAATAGTAAGCTCTTTGTGTCGATCTGTATAAAATTTATTTGAATATTTTCTGCAAATTTTAGATTATTTTATGTCTGAAATTTTCTGTGCCATTGTCAACTATATTTATTATTATTAATATTATTTAATACAATTATTTTGAATAGATTTTAAATGTATATACAATTATTTGTGTATTTTTTGTTTAACGAATATAATAATTCATTCATATCATTAATAGTACACAAAATAAATAATATTTTGAAAGTTTATTACGATTCCRAATATGATAGCTATGAATTAAACTCATCAATAAATAGAATATACGTATATAAATAAATTTCTYAKCGTCCTTTTGAAAAATKTTGAATATTTTTTTTTTATTTACAAAATCATCTGATATAGACAATAATCATCCATTTTTAGTTAACATAATAATATAGTTGCATAAATATTTTTATAAGCTGAGATTCTTTGTAATCAAAGTATTGAAATYAATAAACGTCAAGTCATAATATTCTGAGAATTATTTCAATTTGTTAAAATCAGTTTCTTCAAAAAAAAAGAATTTGAACGAAACTCTGAACAAACAAATTTAAAATCTACATCATTAAATTATAATGGATTTATTAACTAATGTACCAACAAAGTCGAATCAACAATATGTATAAAAAATATCAATTTGTCCCTCAATATGCTATTTTAAAATTTTAAGATGCTTCACACCCAAATTAATRTTCTTGGCATTGTTCATAATACCAATAACTATGAAAAGAGTAACACTCGTAGTAAAAAAAAAATTGGTTTTGGCGTGCATAAAGTTTCCGCTGATACTATCCAACCACCTGCTCTCCTTTATTATAATATGCTCCGCCAATTAGTGATATCATGGCTGTTTGAGCTACATCATGAAAAAGTGAAATAATAATAAACTTCCCTTGTCTTATACTCAATCACAATAAGTTTTAATGCTTGATGAATTATTAACAGATTTTTTCTCCACGGYCATGTACATTATTTTGAAGAAGTAAATATAAAGATTTTATTTAATATTATATCACACTGAAACTGAATTTAAAGGCATTGCTTTTGCATTCATCCGGTGGAAATAGTAATATAATATATAATGCTATATTATGTATAGCCAAACGTCTAAATAAAATACATTATAGAAATTMATTTTCTCAGTTCTACTCGATTTTCACTATTCGAGTATAGTACATGAATACATCTCGCAGTGGCACAAACGTAATTCAGAGGTGTATAGAGTTCCCAGTAAGTACATATAATTGTTGCCATATAATGCATTCGACATTAACGTGYAACAWTAATAATAATTATATTTATATTGTTTATACCTATAGTTATATTGATAGGTACTCCTATCACMACGCATGTAGTAAAATAATAAACACGTGTATAATATCGGGTACAAAAAGATTATATTTTGTGCGTATTATTTTATCTTAACTCCACATTGGTACAGAATTTGAGAGAGACATCTTTCAGAAATTGGATTGTCAAAATATTTTTATGAACGAGAACTGACAATTTCCGCATCACAAAAAAAGTGATTACAAGTAGAATTTCGCAGTTGTCGTGCCTCATCAATTTTAATTATAATTTTTTCCGTACATAACATTATCTATAATCACACTATTCGTAGTTATTACTCTTCTGAATAAATATTTTGAATATTCGTTTTTATTTGATCAAACTGTAATATTGATTCAGYGAATTCGATAATATAAGTCAATGTCTGAATTTCTGAAATGAAATAGCACTCAGACTCAGCGATTTCAGTGAGTACCACATGGATGAAATGTGTTTGTATAGTCAATTGTACTAAAACAGTGTTTTAAGAAAATTATGAAGTACTTTCAGTRTTTATTATAATAATGCATAAAAAACGATTGATATTTTCAGGAGATTCGAATATTAACAAACTTTCATCATATCATATTATGACCATTCGACGTGCAATCCATATTATATTATAATTATTGATAATACTTTGATCGCGATTTGACAGTTATTTATGTGAAAAAAATAAAATAATATTCAGAATAAATACAATATTTTTTTATTTAACTATAAAATGTCGGGAACGTAGAAATTTCTACAAGGGGACTATAGGTATGTTGAACTATTATTCAAGTCAGTTAAAATAACAAAAAAAAAAAAAAAAATATTGAAAAAACCTCGAGATTATAAACGATGAAGTCAAGTGGGTCGTTCTACGTTGCTGATTTTTTATTGTTTGCGTTTCAAAACATTATTTTTTTAATCAAAAATATCGTGGCTTTATAATCATACGTACGACGCGACGTCATCAAAGACCAAAGCAGCAAGTAGAACGGCATGGATAACAATGATAATTCCACGAGTGCAAGCAGGATTTGCGGCTTATCCTCTCACAAGTACTGAAGCATCAGGACTCGTCAAATCAAAAAATATAAGAAGGATAAACGTATTTCGCGAAATACGTGATATTACGATTTATTATAATATCGTCGTGCGCTGTCATAATAATATAACTCTGGAAAACATTATGTGCGCGATGCGTGAAATCCTTTATCCTTCGTATATTATTCCATCCTGTCTGCGACTATTGTCGGTCGTAACTCGTAATCTGTCGACGTATCGCATATTGCGCATCAAGTCCTACGAACGCGACGAATTATAATAACGTTATGAAGTACAACACGTCTGGTAATGCGTGCCTGTCATATTAACAAGTCGTCGTAGTGAAATATTAAAAATATAGACATAAGACCAAAAAAATAAAATAAATATGTTTTTGCACCACGCAAAAACTAAAATGCGATTTTTTATAAGACCAACGTAGAGAACACAACATCAACATTACAATTTATTGAAGTAAGATAATGATTATTTATTGTAATATATATACCGCAGTGCAGTTCATATTATAATAATTGAAATTGTCAAAAAAAAAGTTAATCAATTATATATATATATGTATATATTTTTTTTAGGTTTATTTTGACTAATATAAAAGATTGATTGTAGAACGTTGTATTGTAATATAGGTACCGTATGTATTTATAATATTTGTTTTAAAATTTAATCGTACACWAAGAGTCAAYGATAACTCGAAAAAAAAATTGTGATTCATTTAGTTAGTTATTATAAATATGTATGTACGATTATTTTAATTTTGGTACTTATCGAAATATAGATCTCGACCCAACAGGCCATGACCTTCCGACTACCGCCGTGGTTGTTCCTTCATGTAGTTGTTGCATAAATCGATCATAGCGATCGAGTGATCTCAAAAATTAACGAAAATAGAAAAAAATCCGAAATGCACAAACACCGACAAGCTTGTAGTGTGACAAGTGAAACTATTTTTTTTTAACTGCACGTTATTTTTCTCTCATTTTCTTCACGTTATCTTCCGAACTTCAGCACTTTTAACGTGTCTCCGACACGATTTTCCTAGGAACTCAAAGGTCGTACCTTGTGTTTCGTGCCCAGAAACGATTACTATAGGATTCCATCATTTATTTTTATTCTATTTTTATAATAAGGAAATAATACGGCATACATAAAAGAGCATTGCATAATGAAGGAAACCAGATCCAATTATTTTCACTACGCGCCCCGTCCGCAACAGAGTTCCCCTTGCTTGTCCCGTGTCTGCGGGTTCCAAATGAATCTGCAGACAAACAGCACGAACGCGAAACGTTAATAAAATAAATTGTACGACGGCAACAACAATAATAAAAAAAAAAAAGGGAAATAAAAAGAAAAAAGGATTTCGGAGACGACAATAATATTGCTACAGCCGAGTAAATACGGTTTGTTGTCTTTCATTGATCATAGACCGAGCAAACTAATTCGAATTTTCTCGGCAATGAACTTTTTTTTGTCCGTCCATGTCCTTTGATAAAAAAAAAAAACATTTTTTTCTCATATTCTTCTTAAAAGAAGAAAGTTTTTTTTCCTACACGCTCCTGCACGTCAAAGTAACATAATACAATACAGGTATTACTAAAATTGTTATAATATACGTTACTGTCGTTTTAGAATTTTGTGTCACACGTACCACACGTCAGGTGGGAAATTAATTAACCCGTGGGCTGTAGTTTCGGCGTATAATACATACGTTCATAAAAAAGTTTGGCGAATTTAATTAACAAGACACGTTATCGTTCTAATGACATTAATTCCGTATGTTACAGGTTCGTGTTGTGGTGCAAAAAAGTATTTTGACAAATGYCGCTTTGGCAAGAAAATTGCACGTGGGACTGCAGGAACACCTGACAATAATAATGTWAAGATGAAATAAATAAATAAAACCTATAAAAAACTTATTTAATTCACGACAACGATATCGTACCTATAAGTAATTAACTACGTATGGTACTTTTATTATCAGTTATGTGCCATAAAAAAACCAATTTATTTCAAAACTTAAAATATGTTTAACTAAATTTGTATTGTATTTTCAATAT